TTTAGTTCCTAAATATGTCACCACTGTCTGTCCAGTACAAGACAACAGCCCAGCTGCAGTGTGTCATCCTTCCCCCATCCCGTCAACCTGACTAACTCAGATCAGGGCATGTTTTCCCCTACGAAGCCTGCTGGCTTCGGTGTAACGCCTTTTAAGCGAGTGCTGCCTGATACCGTCCTTCTGTTACATCGCTGCATAACCGTTGATAAATAGCCCACTTTGCATGCTTAATGAGTAAGGTTAATGTCCTCTGTCAGTGTTGTAAGTAGCATTATTGTGTTTTTCTGAAGGATTTATAGAGGTTAATGAGACGTGGAATATCTCAAGTACATTCTTGGGGCTCGTCTCTTGAGAGAACATATGTGAAGTAGCATTGTGTGGAGACAATTATTTAAGCAGTAAATGAGTAACTGTTGTGGTATGTTCCCTGAAAAATTCTTGCAGCTGCTTACGTATAATATGATCGCACTGGTGCATGGATGTCTTGAGTATCCTGGCTACCTCTGCGATCGTGTGGTGAATGTTTGACACTTGCCTGTCAGCATGAGGAGTGCGCTCAGTTGTCAACTTCAGCCTTCACAGCTTGGAAGCCAGCTGACTACCCATTGCCTTGTTCAAGCCCTCTGATGAATTTCAGCTTGAAGCTGTGCTGATATCCTGTATCACTTCCTTTTGGGAAGGTGATGGTTTAGAATGTTATCAAGGCTGGAGTTTTGCATTGTTCATGGTCACAACCAGGGTGCTGTGCTACCCTGGACTAGGGAAAGCAAAAGGGTACTGACCTCCGCGAGCACAGGCTGCTGAGAATGGGGGCAGGATTACAGAGAGACTTTGGCACAGGATAAGCCATTACTGTCATTACTTGCTACCAGCTGTGCAAGAAGTAGACTGGGCAGTGATTTATTGCTAGTCAAGAACCGGTGCACAGAACCCCACAAACAACCAGGCAGCTAAGCTGGATCTCTGGGCTGCCAGCCCCGTTGCTACTTGCTCCTCCCGCTGAAAACACAGTCAATGAGCAGAAAGAGCGGGTTTGAATTATTGTGCTAAATCTGCAGCCCTGATTTTTTTTTTTTTTAAATTGTTTTGTCTTGGTTCTGGGGGTGATGATTATGCTTTCTTGACTCCAGCATTCCTTCAAGCTGCAACTCCTTATATTGTTAACAGGACCTCCTCTGTGTCGAACAGGTCAAAATGCTGGCCGTAACTAGAAGGAACGCAGTAATTTGCTTTACCCATCAGCCTCTCCAGCTAGCTTCTACTTCTGGTCACTTGCTCTACCATTTTCTTTCTCCCTCCTGCATATACATATATTTTAAATAGTAGCTATGCTGCCTTTGGCTTCTTGATTACCCTTCCCTTTTTTTGTTACACCAAAAACCCAAACAGCTCTGTGTTAAAGTGTATCAGAGGCGTAGAGGTTTGTCAGAAGTGACTGGGAACTTCATGTTGTGCCAGTTTCTTCGTAAAGATGATGGGTTTTCCTCCACTGCCACCTCCCACAGACTTAATGTGCTCCGCTGTGTAAAAGTGTTCAATGTTCTGGCTTCTGGAGCATGAGGAGCAAAAAAAAAAAATCCACCTTGCCGAGTTGCCTGAGCTAACATCCAGTTTCAAGTTTCACAATTTATATTTTAAGAGTTGCAATCCACTGCGTCTTACGCAAAAGGAAGGTTCTCTGGCCAAAGAATATCGTTGAGAAGAGCTTACCATTTCCAGAGCTGCCCAAGGCTAGGGAGAGGGTGAGGGGTGGGGTTTTCAGTTACTTGTGTATACGATCAGTGCAGCCCTATCAAAATTGAACAAAACCAGCTAATTGTTTCTTTCCATTTCTTGCAGCACATTGACCTCTGTGAATGCCACCCTTTCCTTTTCATGACAAGCTCAAACAAAGTAGACAGCCATGCGATTACATTGCAGAAAGTTTCTCAGAGATGAGCTCTGGCATCTCAACAGCAGGTGTCAAGCAAGGCTCGGAAACAGGGAAGGCGAAGGTGGCTTTCCTGTCATCAGTGGAGTAATTAATGGAAAAAGCAGCTAAACAGGAGTAACAGGAAGCTGCTGATATACCCAAATGGAGATGAGCAGGTACTGTGCAGGAAGGCTCATTCTCTGCCTGTTATGTCAGCTTCAAGCTTTATTAATCTGAGCTGAAAGACATGAGTGTCTTTTAAAACAACTCATTGCCTGTGAGAGGCTCTAGCAGAATCCTCCCAACCTGAAGACGGTCTTTGTGCAACAGACTCGAAGGTTACTAGAATCTCCCCACATCTTCAGATTATATGAAAGGGTTTTTAAGCTACTTGCAGGGATGTTTGTACAACGGGATCTACAACTACCTCTGTAGCCAACAGAAGTTCTCCTCGTGGTGGCAAATGTAGGAAGTGTGTAGGAATGCTTCACAGTGAAACCTCATAGCGTAGACAGTGAGACTTCCAGTGCCACGCCATCACGACCCTTGTTAACCAGTGGCAGATTTTAAGGAAAGTATGTCACAGCTCTTCAAAACAGAAGAGTATTTTTTATGGGATGGCAAACAGGAGTGGCTGCCTGTTGAGCTTCTTCCATGAAGAACCAAGTACAGGACTTTCAGTGGGTATCACAGAATCATAGAACAGTTTCAGTTGGAAGAGACCTTCAAGGTCATCAAGTCCAACCTTTGTCCTAGCTCTACCAACAGCACTAAACCATGTCCCTAGTACAACATCTACCCATCTCTTAAAACACCTCCAGGGATGACTCCACCACCTCCCTGAGCAGGTTGTTCCAATGCCTGACAACCCTTTCAGTAAAGAAACTCCGCCTAATATTCAGCCTGAACCTCCCCTGGTGTAGCTTAAGGCCATTTCCCCATTTGTCCCAGCACTCCTTCCAGCACCAACCCCACTGAGTTTAGCTGCAGCACCATATGGTATATGAACTGAGAAAGCTGATCACAGAATGATGGGGGTTGGAAGGGACCTCTGGGGATCATCTAGTCTGACCCTCTGCTAAAGCAGGGTCACCTACAGCAGGTCACACAGGACGGCATCCAGGCAGGTTTTGAATATCTCCAGGGAAGGAGACTCCACAGCTTCCCTGGGCAGCCTGTTCCAGTGCTCTGCCACCCTCAGAGTAAAGATGTTTTTCCTCAGGTTCAAGCAGAACTTCCTGTGCTCCAGTTTGTGCCCATTGACTTCCTGCAGCCAGGCTGCACTCACTGCTTGCAAGTCAGGTGTTGGTAGTACTGACACAACAAATCAGCTCTGTTGGACACATACTTCCTTGTGTACACAAGGCTCTACCATGAGTACTGCTGCATGTGGGTTTTCATCATCACATTTGGATCCCACTACAAACAAATGCAACTGTGGCACTTCAGCACTGAGTAGTACAGCGACCAAAGGCTGACGGGGTGGGCTTACAACCAGTCTAGCAGGAGTCTGCTTTACCAGCTGAGTGAAAACACTGCTGAGGCCTCACATGGAGTACTGAGACCAGTTTTGGGCTCCCTAGTATGAGAGAAAGAGATGTAACTTAGGGACATGGCTCTGGGAGATCTTACTGGTGTGTTTAAGTATCTGCTGGGAGGGAGTGAGGACAAGGGAGCCTGACTCTTCTCTGAACAAGTGGCAATGGGCACAAATTAAACCACCCAAAACTCCACCTGACCACAAGGAAGCACTTTTTTACTGTGAGGATGGCCAAAGACTGGGACAGGCTTCCCAGAGAGGTTGCAGAGTCTCCATCTGCGGCGATGCTCAAACTCTGGCCGGACACAGTCCTGGACAACCTGCTCCAGCTGCCCCTGCTTGAGCGCAGGGGGTGTTGGACTAGAGGATCTCAGGGGGTCACTGCCAAACTAAAGGAGTCTGTGATTTTGCAGTTCTGTGACTTCTCACCCCACCCCCAAATTTCTGCTGCACCAGACTCCAACAGGGAAATCCTTTAATTGTCTGTGGTGTAAAATGAATTCAGAGTGTAGCTTCAGAAGACCTTGCTCTCTGAGCACATTCTCCTCAGTAAATCAGTTCAAGAAAACTTTGATCAGTGGATTTGTCTTCTGTGACATCTCCTTAAAATGTGGCTTTACTGGATGCTGTCAGTGCCTAAATTGCTTTCAATCTACTAGTGTTTATATTAAATGCAACTTGAGCAGAGCTGCTTTCTCTTAAGAATTCGTAGTAATTTACATTAAGTCATTCACTTCAGCGCTCCTTGTACTTAGCTATGTTAAAGTTTACTTCATTCTTAAAGCATCCCTTGTGCTTTTGTAAACACCGTGTGAGCGTTTGTGAGCATTTTGCATAGTGAAAAGGGCCGTTGGTTGAGTAAAATAAGCCTCTAGCATTTCTGAGTAAGAGCACCCTGGTTTCAAGGACAGAATTTCAGGTCAAAACCCTTTATGCTTTTGAAGGCAAATGAATAGGCATGGCTTATGGAAGCGTTTCTAGTACAGTAATAAGCAATTAAGCTAGGCTTGTGTGCAAAAGGTAATCAGTTTGATTAATTCAGTCTCCTGCCTAAAGAATAATGATGGTGTCGCTTGCACGGATATGTGATTTGTGAAAGACAGGTGCTAATCAAAAGCAGTAACTGAAACAGCCGGCCTGCCACGGTGTGTGCATTAGCAAGTGCTGATGTACAGGATTCTCATGACGGAGAAACAGTGGTGGACCAGGCAGGCACACCGTATGTGGGCGGTTTTGATGCAAGGTTGAAAAGCAAGTACCTAATGGCTTAAGCACAAGCTTCAGCTAGGTTAGCTTCACTCACTGTAGTGTCGTGGTTAAAGTGCACCAGGCAGGTTTCTGTACATTGGAGAACTCTCAAGAACCACACAGCATAACCATACGCTGCTGTGCCAGGCATAAGAAAGTGGAAACGTTCCCTCTCTGCAGACAATTCTCTTCATGATTCCCTTTAAAGATGTTTAAAATACACAGGCTAAAAATCCACCTTCAAACCAAAGTGATCTGTGCTGTGTCTGGCAGCCATTGTTGTTCTTGCACTGCAAAGGTTCAGCTGCTAGAGCCTTCAGTTCCTGTTTCATCATCAAGGAGCGGTGCTGCATCTGTAGAGTCTCCATCCTCCTGCTCCACAGGGGCTCCCTTTCTTGTTCTGTTCAGTGTCCCACCCTGGAATTTCAAAGCAGCAATCAGTGACAACAAGGATACTCCTGTATATTGCTACAGCTGCGTCCTGGCCCTTCCCCTCACCTTCCTGCAAGAAAATACAGCTGCCAATAGCTTGATACTAGGTAAGACTGATACTAGGTAAGACTACTACATGCTGCGTCAAGATCTTAGCAGATAGATCTCTTTCTATGCAGTCCCATTTTTATGTTGGGGGAATTACTTATATACACACCCAACAGCTATTACATCAATAAAAGCAACAGCAAGGCTGTTCTTCACCTTTCATCACACTTACCTGTTTCTTGTCCACAACATTGAGGCTAACGGACGCAACAATGCATGCAACAGTGTTTGCCAACATAAAGATCATCATCTGTTGCCAGCGCCAAAGGGGGATCTTTAATTCACTAGAAAAAGCCACAACAGGATAGAACAACTGGTCACCTGAGGATACTTAAGGCACCTCTGTAGCTCCTTGCAGCATCAGGTTGCAAAGACACAGATTTCTGTTCACAGTGCTCCACTAAAGCACTGTTGGATGTCTCTGCTTGAAAAAACGAAAAGCATTCTCACCTGGACTTTGTTCCTAGAATGTGCCCAACAATCAGATTTGAAAGGCCAACTCCAATCATCTGCACAGAAGTTGCAAGCCCCATAGCTGTCCCTAAAGTTGCTTGGGGGACCACAAGAGGTATGGATGGCCACATGCTAGCCTGGTAGGAGTAATGGGAAGAGGAATTAACTCAAAGCCTTATTAAAGGTGATCGGTGGTCATTGGTTTAAAAAGGAATTATTCCCACTTAATCAACATTTGTACTTTCTCTTCAAAAAATCTGGTATTTATCCTTCCCAGCCTCTTGGCTGGTTCTAGACTGTCCCTGTCCTTTCCAAGCAGCTCGAGATGGCACAGACAATGCGTTATTTGGAACTGGAAGAGCCTGACTCCAGACTTCTGATGGCAAGTTAGACCTGATGATTTAGCTCGTAAGACTCAGGAGATTCGGGTGTTACACTTAAGGTAAAAACACACTACAAAAAGCACAGAGAGAGTAACGCTTCACACTGTATCAAATGGTCCCTTACTCTGCTTTGCGTTTTGCTCCATGTTGATTCTTTGGGGTTATTTGTCACTAACCAAAGGATTTAGGATTGAGGAGCCAATGACTTCAAACTGGGGCTGCTAAACCTGCTCCTTAGGACAGGGCAGTGATATGTGCCATCCAGGAGACGGAAGGAGCACAGCCCCAAAACTCTCAACTACAGCAGCGAGGTGGTGAACTTACAGCAGCGAAGGTGTAAGTAACCCCCAACCAGATGGTAGAGACTAACGGAGGAACAAAGGTAAATGCCAGGAGAACGAAGACTGGCAGAGTCAAGGCAGCACAGCCAACAGCGAAGACGCCTCTCAGTCCAATGTAGTCCTGATAAAGGAAACAAACAGAAGTTCTCTTACAAGGGATCCTTGCTTCCCACAGATCCTCGTGACATGAGCGGCTGCGCAAAGTGGGCTGGCATGAGCAGCAGTAACGTGTCATTTCCTCGTTGTCGATATGTAGCAGACGAGCTATTGCTAGTTCCTCCAAGTACTCCTGCACCGAGGCTGAAATGCTTGTCAGAGCATCAGCATCCAGTGCTCATGTGAAGCGGCAGGCTTCAGTCAAGGGGGGGAACCACACCGTTAGGTCCTGACAATTACGGAAAGAAGGAAAGGAAGAGTTGGACAAAACAGGGACTGATTCCATGCAGGTTAACCTTTCCTGATGCTTTCTGTCCCAGTCTTGGGCTTCTCAAAACGTACAGCCATTTGCTGTGGCTTGATGCTACCACAGCACAACTAAGGTACAGCAGGAAAAACAGGTTAACGTTATTTCTTGTGAGTTAATTCAGACTAAAGTGCATCTTGCAGTTTGCAAGGAATTAAAGCACTGCTTGTTCAGCAACAACAGACTACATTCTGGTTGAGGGGGTTGTAACAAAGACAGTTCAAAAAATTAGGAAAAAGTTATCAGCAAGCACTTCTGGTTTTGGGTACTCACAATTAATATGCCAACTGCTCCAGAAAGAACAAGGGAGCTGTCGTACACTGCCCCAGCAATATAAGCAGCTGCATGCCGACTGTAACCAGAATATTTATCCTGGATAAACTTGCTAAAAATAAAATGAAAGGGGGAGAAAAATACATAATTAGGACTCTTGATCTGGTTATTTTGACAGAAAGTAAGTCTGAGCACAAACAGATGGACAGGAAGGGTTTTAATGAGAGGACCTGTAAACAAGTTTGATTCCATCTGGGTTGTAGTTCCAAGCGTTTGTTGTTTTATTTCTTTTTTAACTGGTGCACACCATTGAGAAGCTGGTAGCTTAAATGGCCACTTTCAAGATGCTTCTGCAAGTGCAGAGTAAAGCTGCAGGTTAAAGTTGGGCAGATATTCAATTACATCAGCACAGCTCACAAGCAGCAATTTGCTGTCACCTGTCCAAAACATAGAGATGGATTCTTTATATTCTCTTTGAAGAGGCACAAAGCAGCATGAACCCAAGGGTGAGAATGCTGAGGGGCTGGAAAAACATTTTAAAATACTCCAGCAGCAAAGATCAGCATTTACGTTCAACATCTGCATTTCTGGAAGTACCAGAAATTCCCCCTTGGCACCTTTAAGGAGACCTGGTTAAAGCAGAAAACATATAAACCAAGTTTTGCATTTCAGTTGGAAATAAGCCATTCACCTTTGTTAGGGACACACAAAAATGGCATTAAAACTTATGCAAATTTTTACAGAATTTACAGTCATACAATTGTAAGCTTAGAAAGACTAGTTTCTTTAGAGGATCTTGTAGCAACTTAAACCTGGTTTGGCTACTTGCACAGCTACTCACCATTAGTAATAATGAGCCTTTATAGCCTGTGCTGTCAGCAAAGTGTGAAACAAGACACTGACCCATGAAGATTCACTGCAACAGAATTCACCAAAGAGCAGCAGCCTTGGGACCATTATTTTTCCAACTGGGATGCAGCACAGCATTTTTGCCACAAAACGCGACTCAGTGTCTGAACTTTTCCTCCACAGGGAGCAAAAAAACAAAATTCTGCAGGGAGGTAGGACTGCGGAAATGAGGATTCTGTGTGACCAACAGACACTGTTTTCAGTTAAAATGAGAGGGCAACTGATAGAAAACCCATCTCATCGAGGCCATGACGATCCTTGCCACCCTGAATGGATTTACTAGTAAGAGGTCACTTGTACATTTGTTATGTTGATGACACTTCCTCACTCCCAATTTCACAGTGGTTTCCTATAATCACTGATGAAATACTACCAAAATTTTTTTTTTTTTTTTTTACTGCAGGCCTTTGCTAATACAAAAGTTCACAGTCATTATGTGATAGAAACCGCATCATCCACGAACACAAAAAAGCAGCAAAATGCCACGTCTGTGGCAGAGCCACGGGACAGAAACAGGAGCCCCAGTTCAGTTGAGCAGGTTGCTGCTTTGTTTTAAACAAATGAAGGCATAAAAAAAGGAAGCCTGCAAGCCTTGTGCTGGGATGCAAAGCCTTCCTCACTTAAAACCCAGGCTGAGGCAAGTGTAGCTCTCTTCTAAACACAGCAGACAACTGCAGGAACTGCAGGACAGAGCTACCCCAGGCCTGTGAAGCCAACGCCCCACCCAGCTCAAAAGACAGCCGCTTTGCTGGGCTATCACAAAGGTGAAACGTCTAAGGGCTATTTTTTAAATAAAGTATTTCTCCCCTTCTCCCAAATCCTTCTGATCCTCCTTTGGCAGTGTTCCAACCTTTAAATATTGGATGAATCATTTCCCTTTCAGTTATTTTTGCTTTCCTTCAGAAGCCTCCCTCACCTTTGAAGGGAAAGAAAGGCCAAAGAACCCTCATGTAACGGGTCTGCGTGGCAAGGTTTTGGTTGAGGGGGGGTAACGGGTGGCTTCTGTATGAAGTTGCTAGAATTT